TCCGGCAAAACGGCAATCGCGCCTATGGCCCTCCGCCTCTCAAGCGCTTTCTTCATTACTTTGGGGACGTGCGGTTGCGGTTGACTCCTCCTTCCCATCACGAAATCCGCAGAACGTTTTCCCTCCTTCACAAGTTTTGCGCCGTCGGTTTTGCGGATGTTATTACAGGAAGATAACGTGTATCGGGTGTATCGCGCGGGTGCAACTGGTCCCGGCGCTCCGGCTCGGCACGCTCGTCCCCCGGGCCGCTCGCCGCCTCCTCTCCTCCGCGGCGGGATCGCGGCGGGAAAAGCCGAGGAAAGTAAAGTTAAGAGTTCCCCTGCGACGACTGCAAAAACAAACTCGGCGGCCTAGCCTGCGGGGCCTGCTGCGGCCGGGGAGCGTGGTCGGGCGTGGTCGGGCGTGGCGGGGCGTGGCAGAGCGCGGTGGCGGAGTAAAAAGCCCTGCATTTGCATAACGGCCGTTGCCTCCCCCCAAGCCCCCTCCCCGCCGGTCTTGACCAGATTGTCCCTCCCCCCGCGGTGGGCCGATGGCAGCTGAGGAGGCGCCAACACTTTGCACAGAGGCGACGACGAGTCCCTCCAGGCTGCAGGCAGACTCCTCCAAACTCCGAGCTGCAGACTGCACACTCCAGAGACTGCAAACCCTAGACTTCAGACTTCTAACTCCAGGATGCAGTCTCTAGGATGCAGACTGCTCCGGGATGCAGCTTTACAGGAGCGAGCGGGGGGTGAGCGCCACGGAGCGGCTGCACAAAACACTATAAAACGAGTCCGCATCAAGGGATGGAGACACCAGTCAGTTAAGTAATGGGAATGGGATTAGGCGTGTAGGTCCGTCCCGTATCTTTCTTCCCCCCCTCTCCTCCCTCCTCCGGCTCCCTCCACGTCGTACTAATCCACCCTCCCCCGGACATGCGGGGGCGGACACAAACAAAAGGAAGTGGAAATAAACAAGTCACGTAATAGATTACGCGGGTAAAAAGTGGCACATACACCCGGGCCCGGGGCGGAAGGAGAGGGGGGGGGGGACAAAAGAGGGGATGAGAACCCCGCGCACCGGCGCAAGATTAACATTTTCACCTGGAGGGCCGTGGCACCAACCGCAGGCGGCAAACACTGCAATTTGCATATGACGCGGCAATTATACGGAAACAAAGAGGTACAACAATGCTGATAATGAGATGGCGTTACCTGCACACTTGTCGCCGACCTGCCGGCCCCCCGGGCCGGGCCCGTCCGCGCCGTGCAAGAGGGCCTCGGAGGGCCTAGCATAGACCGGCAGAGGCTCATGTGCGTACACACACCTGCACACATTTACACACACCTACACACACACAATTTTTCCTTCGACGCTGCAGCCAACCAACCTTCCCCGAATCAGTCGCCGTCGTGGTTTCAGACCTGACCTCATTTTCCAATCAGTCAGACTCTTCTATTTCTGTGCCCCTGTGGTTTCCGCCCGCGTGCCGCCCAGGAGGGGATCCACACCTGACCGTGCCCCGCCGGCCCTGCCCCCGCCTGATGGTTCGATTGGGATCGCCCCGCCCCCGCCCCGCCCCTGCCCCCGCACGCTCACCGCTCGCTAGCCTCCCAGCAGGGCCACCACCTCACCACCGCCGCTGTCCCCTGGGGGGCCAATCGAACAGCAGAAACGAAGCAACTGCAGCAGGTGCTTAGAAGATCGGTTGGGGGTGAGAGGGTGGAAAAAAAAACGGCTGTTGGTGGCTCGACCTCTCGGCAGCAAGAATAGCATTACAAAACGAGTGCCATGCCAACGTACTCTGTGCCATTTGTAATGCTTTTGGGTATCACCTCACTCACAAAAACGGACGCGCCGGGCTGGGTTGTTGGTTGCGTACGAGTTACGAGTGCCACACTTTGTCAAATCAGACATTGCACTTTCGCACCATATAATGGCATTGTGGAAACCGAAAAGGGTGGTGGTGGTGGTGGTGGTGGTGTAGTGCAGCGCGCTAGACAAACGCTATCGCGGGCAACAAACAGCACGGCGCACTCCGTCCTGGACCGGCTGTGTGCGTACAGCAGTGCGTGTGTTAGTGAGTGTAGGTGTGTGTGTGTGTGTGTGTGTGTGTGTGTGTGTGTGTGTGCGAGCGAGCGCGTGTGTGTTTCATATTGCGCCAATTGGTGGCACCGGCACCGCGCCCCACAGTGCTATTGGCTACCCTAAATTGGCCCGGAAAAACAATCGCGCATTGCCACCACGGAGTGTTGCTCGCGTGGGTGAGAGAGTGCGAGCAGGATACAGGGAGAGAGACCGCGAGAGCAAGCGAGAGCGAGAAAGCGTAGCGGATCGAGACTGCAAATAAGGGAGTTTGTAGCGGGGCAAGGGAGAAGGGGAGGGAGGGTTAACCTCGATCAAATAATCGCTGATGAATAATCACAAGATTGCAGCAGCAGAGGGCTCGGGGGCGTTTCCTACCACCCCAACGCATACCAGTTTGTTTCCCAACGTCCCTAAAAAAGGCAGGACATTTTCAGAAACTTCAGTATAGGAGAGAGAATAAAAGAAGTGCATGTAATGATGACCCCCCGCTCGACTGTGATATGCCTTTTGCCTGTAATATCGTGTAATACGGCGCACAAAATTTGGATGATGAAACCGGTGTTGGCAGGAGGTAGCCTAAGTAAAAACCCTTTAAAAAAAATAGAAAAAAAGAGGGCTGGTGAATTAATTTTCTCGTTGTACCTTTTTCAGAGTTTAGCGCGATCAACCTCGGACCGGGGAGTGAGAAAGGAGAGGTATGGGGATAGACGAGCCGCAGAGTATGATCGACGCAAAAAGGGATTTTCAGCTCTGCAGGGCGAGGTGAGTTAATCAAATCACGAAACGTAAAGTGGCGCGGGGAACAGGAGCCGCGCGACCCAGTCGACCAGGACTCGGCCCATCCGCGGGCAGCACCAGGACGGGGGATCCATTTTGACTCTACTCCAATAGCACGCCACGCAGAGAAAAAAAAAGGAAAAAAGTACACACTAAATTAATTGTTATGAACTTTTTTTGTACGCAGGTACGTCTGTGTACGTGCTCTATTGCGTATGATTTTAAACGCAGTTATGAACAAATTTGTAAAAATATTTGCAACTATGAACAATTTTGACCATAACTGCGTTAAAAATTATACGCAATAGAGCATGTATACACAGATGTACGTGTGTATGAAAAAGTTCATAAACATTTAGTGTGTACAGGGTCACTTTGCACTGTGTCTCATTCGATTACTTTCCCACTGACACAGAGATGTCTTGGGGCAGGTTATATGCTGTCGGTAGACTAACTCCACTCCTCCTTCCTTGGGCACTCCGTATTATCCACTGAACTCATTCAGACAAGAGGAAAAACCAAACCAAAGGACAGAAGGAAGTAGAGACGATTCCGGCGACTCGATTTCCCGCTCTTGGTTTTGCAATGTAGACGCTGGCCGCAGCAACGATCGATTTCATTACTAAGGCAAAACACACACATGCTCATGCACGCGCACACAGACACCAACACATGCCATCTAAATCTCCTGAGAATATATCATTTGGAGTAACATGGAGAGCGGGGGTGGTGGGTGGGCACGTTTTGTAGTGCTAACTACGGTTCAAATGCCCCTAGATACGAAGTGTAGGTAACTTGGAATATAAAAGTGACACGATGCATACCGATGTACTCTGAACTGAAAATGCAACAGAAGCACGTACGAGCTCGTTGCACGCCCAGTGAATGAAACGTATTCCGTCAAAAACATATTCTTGACAAAATCCGTTTCACTGGGACACCCTTGTTAAGTTAGGACTGCCATAATGTTGTTTATTGTTTTTAGAGTAAGTCATATGGCAAGGGTATTAGAACAATTACTTGTACAACAACGTAATGTTAATGCATGGAGAGGCATCTGAGGCGAGGGCTACTGGCCTGTTATCGATACGAGTGGGCTTCTGACCCGACTAAGCACGGCACAAAAATCGAAATCCGTAGAACCTATTCTTTCCAAATGACTACTTCCCATTTCCAATGCAGTGTAGTACACTGATTTACTCACGCAGGCGCACTGCGGCGGGTCGCATATGGGGTATGAAAAGGCCCCGTGCATGCAGGCAAGCCCGATCTATGTACACGAATGCCAGCAAAGTTGCGGCAGACACATGGCCTATGCTTACTTACGACCTTTCAAGTATGAGAAACTGTCAGATCAGTTTCGAGCGCCCTCGCCTGCATAATTAAAGTTAAAATCAGGATAAACCACTATGTCACTTTGTCATACTTCAACTTCGACACGAGAACAACAGTTCACATGTACCTGAATAGCCCTTAGGTAGGACATAAATCAGAAAGTTCCTTCTCTTTCAGTTCCGTTTAATACAGATTAAAACTATTCGCAACGAAGGGGTGTTTCAGAAAAACGGAAATGAAAAAATAACAAAATCGCTGATTTATCTGTTTCTGTCCAGCGAGTATGAGAAATAAAACATTCCGATAAGCTGAAATGCAGAAAAATAAGGGGAAAAAGAAAACGGAAATCGCTATGCAAAAACATGGTGATTTCTTCTTTCCTGCATTCTTGTGCATTTCAGCTTTACGGGAATGCTTTATTATCATGGTATAATTTGACCCAATTCTAACCGAAACCGAAACTGATCTTATAGTTGATTAGCTCGATCAATTAGAAGCATTACGGAAATTGAGAAATCAGTGAGTGTTTTCTTTACCTACTTCCGTTTTGGATCGCCAAGAACACCATATTGCAAACGTATCAACTGTTTGCGTCTCCGCGAAGCCTGTTACGCGAGACGCAATCTACCCTTTCTGTTCTGAGGCCGCACGATTAGACGCACAAGCGAGCTGAGAGTTACATGGGCAACGCTTATCATGGTTCAAGATTCACATTCAGTCAACTGCTACAGTGTTACGGGTTTTCCTACTATGCAAACCCGTAAAACTGCAAGGCGTGCACAGATACACACACAGGTCAGAATAAATAAATCGGTACAAACCATTTAATCCTTGGCGATGCAGCCAGTGTATTCCAAGCGGCGCACTGCGTTATCAAGTGAAAGTCACTGGCGTTTGAGAAATCCTTCCTCTCCACAGGGCGAACTTCACTTGATCCAGCGGCGACAAGCGCAGGATGATAAATAAATGTCGTATATCCACAATCAGCGGCAACACACTCGCGCACAATGTCGGCGGTGAGAGGAATAAATAACACAAAACACACACTGGCCAATTACTTTTACACCAACTGTCAGACGCACACACACAGAAGCGCGCGCGCACTCACACACGCACTCACGTGCGGCAAGATAAAATAATAATGGAAGGACACAGCAGTCCGGCAGCGGTTGGCAAATGTACATAAAAGGCTAACTTCGTGCCCAGAAACATCACAGCTCACACGCGCACCCTTTGATCACACATAAACTAACACACTTCTTCGGCGAGAAACAGGGTTTCAACGACGGGGCACAACCACCCTCGCACACGTCAAGGAGAAAATGGCAAAATCAGAGCACAGAGCACAACAGCCGGTGGGCGGGGCGGGCGGCCCGACGAGTTCACGCACGGCCGCGGGCGAGCGCGCGGAGCTCCGACTGGCGGCAACACGTCGACTGCCGGTGAGCGCGCGCGGCCGACTGACTGGGTTGGCTCTCTGGCTGGCTGGCTGCGGCGCTTGGAAGAAGGGGGGGGGGGGTATGCAGCCCTGCCCTGCCCCACCGGTAGAGGGGCCGCTGCAGCTGGGCTGGGCTGGAGCATGGCTGGAGGGCGCCCCCGGGTCGAGCTGGACCGGCCGAGTTAGGCCCCTCGCGGCTGGATGACCAGCAGTGCGACGTGTCGTGTCGCACTGACCACGGCCAACTGCTGCACGCGCGTCATCCACACCTGCAGGGTACTTGCACAGCAGGGCAATGCCATAAAGGGGTTTTCGTAAGTGTTGACATTGTCAGCGAGTGAGAGTTCTACAAATACAGGGCATTTATTCGCTGAACCAAAAAAGGCAAAAGGGGGGAAATAACGAATAAGTGACAACAGGGCACTGGGGCACTGGAACACCGCTGGTAAAAAATTAATCAACTATACCGCCTGAATTGCCGAAAAAGGCGTGGAAGAAGAAAACGGATATCACCATTTTAAAGCATAGTGATTTCCATTCTGTTTGTTCCCAGCATTCTTTTTCTTTTTAACTTTACTGGAATGCTTGATATTGCGTGCGTGTGCTTTTGTAAATCGTCCGCTTTGGAAAACGTTCGGGAGTGCCTGTTTTCTGTAGGTATAGTTTTTATTCTTTTCCGAGAGAGTCAGCCTTATCGTACTCACGAAATGCCAATGCTAAAACATTTGTAACAGTTTGTACGAAATTTACCAGCATTGGATATACATTATTTGTCGTGCAGTGAAATGATATGATTTTCTTTTAGCAGAAAATGTATACAAAGATGTGATCTTGCCCCGGCCGAAATTGTACGGATGGGCCCGCCGGGCCTATTCTATTTAGAGTGTGGGTCATACGCCCCTCTATGACACGTGACACGCCAAGCCCTCTCTCTATCTGCTGCGCACACCCAAACCACCTCACCACGCCCCCTTCCCTCCCTCCCTCCCTCCCTCCCTTCTCTCTCTCTCTCTCTCTCTCTCTCTCTCTCTCTCCGCACGCGCAAGTAGAATCTTCGAGGACGAGCTGTAGGCGGGAAACTTGGTGTGACGGGGTGCGGAGATATAAACTATCGTAAAGTACAAGGATGTGGATTAGG